GAATGTGTAAAGTCCATTATGCTGAAATCAGAAAAGTCCAGTTTACTCTAGCAGTGATCATTAACTTCAGGTCTGAAAGCCACCCTGCTGCACTGACAACTTAAACCTGTAAGATAAATATAATTTTATACATGAGCGACTACCATACTCTGTGTTAATAGCAGCTGGAGTTAACTGGAGCAGTTACCTGTTTTTTTTTAAAGAAGGGATTTCAAAATAATGTAACAGTACACTGAAATAATACATTTTCTCTTTTGAAAGAAGCATAAAGCTGTTCCTCAAATGCGAGACATTTGGGGATGCCTAAGGTCACAAATGCAGTGAACACGCAGACATTTTCAATTTCAAAGACTGTCAAGTCAAAACACAAGAGGAAACCATGAATTTAAATGACATGTTGTTTTTGTCTTCAACTTCTCAGTATCAAGATTTTCAGCTACAATCTAGAGCGGAGATACTGAACCAAATCTGTCCCTATGGGATTTCCCAGATAGCCATGCCTGCTTCCCCTGGTCCTACACTTTTCCTTCTCCATTGTTTGGTGATTTCCTATCTGTTACAAGGGACATGCTCTGCACAGCCATTCTAAAATGCAGAAATGCATAAGGCTTTATCACAGCAGTAAAAGGTTTAAGTTAAAACATACTGACTCAAATTTTGGCCCAATCCCATTTTCCCTGCCTACAAATGAAATGTGGTGGAGAACTTCTCAGGAAATGAATTCAGGCCTTGGGCTAAAAAAAGTCAACATGGCTAGTTCAAAGGCTCTTTACCTTATATCTCTATGTTTAGTGGCATATCCAGCAATTTGGATGTGAGGCATTTTGCATGGATTCAGACAGTTGCCTTGGGGTGTGGTGGACCATAATACCGGCAATCAAGTGGAGGAAAGCAAAATTAACACAAACATGTCAAAATGCATCCACATGGCCTAATCTGCCATGGTAAATAAGGCCAGAGGTTAAAAGCAATGCTTTTAGGGTGCATATGCTACGGGATGCTCTCATTTGCCTTGTTAAGCTGAAACAGAACAGATAGAGCTAAGGAGGGATGAAAAACAGCATAGCTTTTATTTAAGAGATGAACCTCCTCTACCGGGAACAGGTGCATATTTAAATTTAAAGCACTATAGTTAAGTCTAACTCAGACAAGACCATCTTTTTACATGAATATGTCTCTTGGTGGCCCCACTGTATCTCGTAACAGGGAACTCACGCATGCTGTGTGATATAGTTCTTATACCTTGACTCTCCCACAAGTCCACTTCATTGAATTGGGAGAAATATAGTTTTTATCGCATGAATAAACTCCATTATACTAAGTTTGTTCTCAACACTGACTAGCAGCAGCTCTCTGGGGTTTCAAGCAATTTTTCCAACCCTTGGACATGCTGAAAATTGAAGCTGGGGCCTTTGCCTACACATGGCTGTGCCACTGAGCTGCAATTGCTCCTCTCTTTATACCATGCACAACCTTTCCTGAGTTGTTCCATCCCCTTAATTAGGTCATTGCTTTCTGCACCTTTTCCTACCCTACAGTATTTTTCTTGAGGTACAGTGACCAGTGATATTTCACATTCAGCGAAAGCTGAGGGTAATTGCATTTCATTTTTTCAATGCTTGTTCGAGTTATACCTAGCATGAATGTTACCTTTTTCATAGCAGCTTCTGATGCATACATTGCTTTCACTGAACCACATTTCTGTTTGAATGACCATTCTCCCACTTTGGAGTACTTAGCACTTCAATTCCTTCTTGTTTTAGCCACTCTAAATAATTTGGTGTTATCAGCAAACTCAGCCACTCCTAGTTCCAGGATCTTTTACAAACAAGTTAAAATGTTCTAGTCATAATCTAAATCCTTTGGGAACTTGCTATATATATCCTGCTATTTATATCCCTCTATTTCAAAAATTGATTCATCTTTGCTTTCTGTTCTTTAAACAGTGATGGGATAAGAAGTCACTTCTTATTTTATGACTGCCAAGTTTACTTAAGAGTCTAAGGCAAGGGATCATTTTTAAAAGACAAACACATTTGGAAGTCAAATAAGCAACTAACGAATGTTTGACACTCAAAAAATCATAGAACTTTGCAAAAACTATTTTGATCCTGTCCCCGCAGGATTTGTCCTACTCTATGCTTGATGACTTTTATCTTTAACAAGGCTTTCCACAAATTAGCTGGAACAGCTAACCAGTCTGAAATTTCCTGGAGCCTTTTAAAAATGGTATCATACTGACAACTTTTCAGTGATCTTATGTACTTTGTAAGTTGTTAGAGCAGGGATTTTAATTTCAGTTTTTTAATAACTCCATAATCAGTACTATCTGAACCCAGCAGTTTCATCTTTCAATTTGTTAGTAAATTTTAGAGTTTGTCTCATTGCTATTTGCCTCATTTTCTAAAAATATCAGTTCACACTCAGCTATCGCCTTCTGTCATGAGGACACAAAGAACTTATCCGGGTTTCCTTCAATCTCCTTTGCCTCCTGTTACTCTTGTAATTTAATACTCCAACTGCTTCTCTAGCCAGTATATGGCTTCCAATATATTTAAAGGCCTTAATTTTGCAATGCCCTTCAAAACCTTTCTTGCATCTCTTATTGCTGCTTGCATTTTCTTTGTTATGTGCTGCTTTTTGTTCCCATTTAGGAGAACACATCATTTCTTAAGACATACTTGTCCTTGGCTCCCTTGCTTCATATTGTTTGTTATCCATGCTAGTGCCCTTCTGGACTTGGTACAATCTTTCTTAACCTGCAGTATATATTCTATTTAAACTTCTATTGTTGTTTTTGGGTAAGCTCCAAACACCTGGGATTTAACCTTAATTCCTTTCAAATTTAATCACTTTATTTTAGAACAATTCCCTCTCAAAGTCGTATGTGATGTGCCAAGAGTTCCTTATCAATTTATAATTTTAGAAATATAAATTAGAAATTGTGGCCGTTGCTATTTCAAGTCACACCCACTTACTCATTTGGGTCACCAACCCGCTGGTCTACACAACCATTCCAGTAGTCATTTGGGGTATTTAACTGGATTTTAGTCCAAGTTACCCATTATGACATTTCCTTGCTTTTATTTCAATCCAGTTGCATTATGGATCTCAGGGTCACCCTGAGTGTTTTGGGTCAGGGGGACATTAGCCTTTCTTAAATTACTTTTGCAGTATTTTCACCCACTGCAATTCTGTGGAGTACACCTTTTTTAGGGTTTCTCGGATATCATCCCACACCCAACCCAGCAAATCAGCTATTGCACCTTTCTGGGACAGGAACTTGCCCTTCCTGGCTAGTGAACGACGTCAAGGAATTCTTTCAATACACCCTGGTTCTAGAAAGTAACAGTAAAAATTGAGACTAACAGCAGGATTCTATTCATGTTTTCTCCAAAGGATGTCCCATTGAGTTCATGCCACTGGTAGGAAAAACATGTCTGTGACAGGCATTGTGCCACCTCACACACAGAGTTTAGCCATGCAGTTATGCAGAACATGCTTTTCCTTTCACATGATTTCTACTTACAATGTGCTTTTCCGCATTGTTAGTTTTTGTCTTATATAAAATACAGCATGTGGTGATATTCTAATTTATCATGGAATGGCAATCTTAGTGATACAATAAAGCAAATACCCACTTTACTTACTATAATCTGGCTTTCTGCTGCAAGGAAAAAAATAATCTGTATATTAAGTTAGCAAAACTTTTATGCTTCCTTATGATCTTATTGCACAAGACATAAGCCATGACTGTCTTTGTACTTGGACCTGAACATGATCACCCCTACCAGGCTGAATTATCTTTTCACTTAAGATTTTCATTACAACCTCATTTCCCCAGCTTTACTGACAAATCTGTTTGAAATGTTTGACCAGATGTGGTCAAAAGCTGCTGTACCTTGGGCACTGTTCTGAGAGACACATCCGTAATAGTTGTCCTAGGAATGGGGAACAGAAGTACTCTGGTTTCTGCCATCAGCCAGAGGACCGCAGAATAGTGAAATCCTCCACCTCCTGCATCTAAGGAATAACATCATGCCAAGAATGTGACCAACATGGCCAGTTCATTAAGAGAAGCAGTTGCAAGACATTCACCTCATCCTACCTTCTTACACTCAGCGCCAATTGCTCATCATCCTGGGACTACAGAAGTAAAGGGAAAGCCTGATCCCATCCACAGGCCAAACAGTCACTAATTGTCATTCAAGCAAAAGCATCATCAAGGAAAGATCAATATGACCTCCAGTGCATGTAAATGCTGACTTATTTCTCTCACCACACCTTATTCCTCACCTGTCCTTACAAAACTGATTTCCCTTCTCACTTTCCTCCACTACTTTCTATTTGTTATTTCTTTTTAGTTTGTAAGCATGATGGTAGAACCGGTTTCTTTTTAATTTATGTGAGTCAGGCACTGCCTTTGTACTTTGAGCTGAACAATATCAACCTTAGTTTTGTCTGAAAAGCAGGATAAAAATAGTGTTAATAAACAAATGTGTCTGCAATACCCTATTATTTGGATTTCAGTGATTTAACCTAACATCAGATCCAGTGAAATACCCCACACTGTTCCTTGACAACAAACCCCAAATGCAGCGATCTTACCCAGACCAAGGTCTTGGCAACAATAAGAACAATTTTGTAGCAACAAGCAACCCAGCTCCAAGATAAAACAAACACTCAAGTGCACCTCAGAGTCTTGGCACATATTGGGATGTTTGGAAAAAATGCCCTTTTCTATGTAGTTTGAACTCTGTTTACCATTTATTAACTGCCTATATGCAGACCTTCTATCCCATGCCCTATAGCTGCTTCTGTGTGGCTTCCAAGTTGAGAATTGCAGCCTAAATGATCATTCTGTGTATGTGGGTGTTCAAAGCTGGTTATGAACAGTATTGCAAAATGAAAAAGCAACCTGTATTTTGTTCATTTCTTGATCAAGTTTCACCAATAACCTGAGGCATGCTAAACTAAATAGGACCCAGCAAAGCTTCACATGGCAATTACAAAGTTTTAATAAACATTTGTGTGATTATACAAACGTTCCTTTTCACTTTCACAGATCATGCATTTCTTTAGAAACTTTGAGCAAACGTCTCAAATATGTAGATTAATATATAAAGGTGACAATTTCTTTCCATGTTTTGGGGCATTTATTTTAAGACGACATTTGAGTCCTTAAGATGAGCTAGATGCTGCAACGGCTGCTCTCTTGGGCTTCGGTGCTGTTCCTTCACGGAAACCATTCCTGTACATACAAGACAAAATAGAGGCGTGATTTACTGTTGTATTTTCATTTTATTGCTATGTGTTGTTTTTATCAGCTCATCTCAGTTACAAAATGAAATCACTTAGGAATTCATATGTTCAGACATTTGTTAAGAGAACATCACTGATAAGCTGCTAAAAATCCATGCATTCTTTTTTCCTTTCCTAATAGTATGCTTCTTGCCCCTTAACACATAACATTTTCAAGTAAGCATTTCCAAAGAAATATCATCAGAATATGTATATTGTGGTACATCTAAGCCAACTCACAGAAGGAAACAAAGTATTCTAACATAATTTCTTGGAAGGACCGGGAGACAAGAAAGTAACCAAAAGCATGCTTAAGAATTTATACACAAAAAACAGTCACATGAACAAGAGCAAGGATTATTCATTTAATTTTTCAAAAGAGCAAGGATACTCTTAACATAGTTGAGAAAAATGGTTAAGCCCTCAAAATGGAAATTAAACAAGTCAATCCAAATGCCTACATGGAACCATCGCAAAATCTGGATGGTTTATGTTGTTAATGAGAATGGTTGTTCATTCCTAACAATCAATTGCCTTTGGCATATCAAAAACCTCAGGATTATTTTTGCTTGGATCAAATGAATTTGGCTACATAATGCTTAGACAACTATACTGTTCTACATGAGGTTATAGCTGTGCTGTGCTCAGAAGCTTGAATTGGTGTGAAATGTAGCCGCCAGGTATACAGTATCAGAAGTCTTAAAATGCCAGCACTGATTGCCAGCTGCTTTTCCGGCTGAAATCAAGGTGTTTTAAAATTAAGTTTTAAAGCCAGAAACAAATTAGGTCTTGGTTTAGGGATCAGCGTGCAGATGATGAACCCATGCAGATAAGATCTACAAGAGATATCATGAACACTACCGTTACCCACAGAAACTTATAATCTTTTATGCATGAATGTGGAATGTGTTTTTTCAGCTGGTCCCACAATATTGATGTTTAGGAAAAGGTGTAAAGGCGTATTTTAAAACTTAGGGTAGAATCCTATGCATGTTTCCACAGAAAAAAGTCCAACAGCTCACAGCATGCCTCAGCTAACCATGTTTTGGGATATACTAGGAGTTGCATGTAGGATTTCTTTTCCTGTCCAAACAGGCATTGGAATGTACTTCAAACCCTTTAAATTACATAGCTTTAACGTTTTACTGTTTTAAATCTTCTGGTCTTATTCTACTGAATCATTGTTTTGAATTGTTGCACACCACCTTGACAGTTTTTACACAAGATGGTATGCAAAGGCTGATAAAGACAACTTACATTTACATATGCACACACAATCTGTGACAACTATTAGTTTTCTAAAAATGTATCATTTTAGAAAACTGTGAAGTTTCAATATGTGCTACAGGTTAAATAGAGTCCTAGTTTCTTCCCAAATATATGCATATTTGTCCATAAGTGTATCAGACATCAGGGATGCAATTTTATCACCAAACACATTTGCTCACAGCATTTTTATCATTTCTTATTAAAATGTTTATGCCCTGCATTTCTATTAAAACAACTGTTTACATATAATAAAATACCATCATCTCACCAAGTGAAACGTATGTTGAAACACAGGAATACAGACAGGTTTTCTAATGAGGAATACACTCAATTTTAGCACAATTTTTATACCACTAAAATTATACTACTGTACCTGAATCTACGGTAGACCTTTTTCAAATATCTCATACGACCAGTCCCAGTAGTGTTGCGCCTCTTGGCCTTAGCACTCCAGTTATCTAGAGGAATGAGTTGCATGAGACATTAGACCAAAAGTGGAGGCAATACAATCTGTTATTATATGTCCTGCCCTTCCTTCCATGAGTTCAATGTACATAATGCCTCTCAACTATAATCCTCACAACACTGTGATGTAGATGAGGCTGAGTGATAAGTGACCCAGACACCAATGAGCTATGTGACCCAATGAGGATGTAAACACAACTTTCCCCAGCCTTAGTCAAAAGTGAACAGTCTGCACATCACAGCAGCAATTCCTAGCTTGTTTTAGTACAGGAACTGTACTGATTAATGCAGTTAAGAACCCAGGGATTCTCCATTCCTGTTTTGTCTCTAAACATCACAAAACACCTCAGAATGGAGCATTCTTGAGTTGTTAAATGGAAACAGAAATCCACTCATTACCGTAATTCCTGGATTTAAGAACTCAGGAACTGTTGCTATGACATGTTACTAAGGTCTTGCTAACCACTATACTGTGCTAGCGCTCTCTGAAAAAAACATGGGAAAAATAGTTATCTTAGAAAACAAGAAGGGAGCACTTTGTTTAAATGTACTTCATATGGATTAACAGAGTCCTGAAAATAAGCCCACAAGATTTTAAACACATTTTTAAACTAGTGTGTGTAAAGGCTGGTTACTTGTATTCTGGCTGTTTCTGTTGCCAGCAGTTGGAGGACTAGGTTGTACCAAGCAAAGAGGCATGAAGGCATAGTGGGGCCACCTGCTCCTCCTTTGCCAACCTGTTCACTCACCTACATGGAATTCGCCTTTGCCTATAGCTAACAGATTTGATAAAAAAAAGGGTTATATTAAAGCTAGCGGCATACTAAATACAAAGTGTTTCTACAGAAAATATTACATTCAACAAAGCCCCTTGATTTCGCATTTGCATTTATGTATGCTGCAGCAGCCACCATCCCAAAAGAGCAAAAATGTCTCAGGAGTCATGTAAAGTGTCTTGCATTTGTATAAAGCTCTGTACTCACACTTTCTCTTGCGCTTAGCTGGATATCCACATTTCCCACAGGTGGACTTCTGGAGATGATAGGCTTTGGACCCACATCGACGGCACAAAGTGTGCGTTTTATTGCGGCGCTTGCCGAAGGATGATGTTCCTTTCGTCTGAAACACATTTGAAAATTAGTGTATGCAAATGCCGCACACAGCTTATACAATTCATGCCATTCTGGATAAGTACTAAAAGGTTCTTCATGTTACACTTTCAATGAAGCATCTGTTGGTAACAAAAAATGGTTTACAGAAAAAAAGGTGCTCTGTTCACCATACTATTAAAGAGAAAAAGCCAATGAGTTGGCGCAGTACAGTACTTAAAAGTGTGAGCTGCAACATCCTCATCCAGCCCTTTTTCTTGAAGTGACTTTGCTAGAACACTAGTCACCCAGTCTTCACCCTTAATCTTCAAAATGGACAGTTTTAGTCTATCCTACAAACCTGTTGCCAGGATTACTGACAAACATGTGAGAACCTATTCTGCAACATTTTTGAATTGCAATATACAAATATTAAACAACACTCAAACATTTCCTTTTAAAGACAGTGCAGATACACTTATATGACTACCAAATATTTGCAAGGTAAACCCCCAGTTCTACAGGATGACTGAGGCTATAGTAACATCATGATTTTGCAGTAATTCATATGAAGCCCATATTGAACTGGACAAACTTATCAGTCCAACATCCCATTATTTAGAGTCTAACCCTGATATTAGAAGTCCATGAGTGGAATAAGACCATAGCTGTGCCAAACAAGCACATTCACTGTTTTTCCTAGCAACCTTTAATTTTTAGAAATGTGCTTGCATCTGTTGCAACACTGAATTCTATTTAGGGTGCAATCCTATGCATATTTAGACCAAATCCATTCTGACTGCATCCAGCTGGGAGTTGCAGAGCTTTTTTGAGGTCTTAACTATGCAGAGGCTTGCCTTGTTCAGAGAGATGTAATCCTACAACTCCCTGTGTTCCCCAGTCAGTATTGATGGGTGGGAACGCTGCAAGCTGTAGAACTTATTTATCTGGCTAAGCATGCACTGGATTGTACTAGTAAATGCTTAAGGACTAATCTGATACAATTAGCAGGGAAGAGGAGGAAGCACCATATAAGAAAACGCAACGCTTGGAAGGGTCCCTGTCCACATAGCACAGCATCCTTAGATTACTCCCCAGCTCACAGCAAGGCCTCTCCGGCACCCACTACGTTCAACGCTTGCTCTTAGCCACAGGCCCTTTTCTAGGGAGGCCTTTAACGGGCACCACGGGCCTGGGTTTGGGCTTGGGACTCAAGGCTCCGCTTGTTGACTAGCCTACAAAACAAACAGCCCATCGGGGATATACACGGCTCCCCCATAGCCGTAGGTGCTAGGCAAGGTTTCCCCTTGCACGGTCGGCGCGGCGGGCGCTGGATGGACGCGGATCCCCCGAACGCCTCACCACACTCACCATCTTCCTTCAGCCGCCAGAACGAAAGAGAGCCTGCGCCGCCCCAGCTTCCGCAATAGCCTCGCCGTGCTTCCGGCAGAGGCGTGCGCGCCGTATAAAGGGCTCCGGCTGCAACGTCGAGAGGAGGGTACACGGAGGGAGAAAGGTGTGACACCGGAAGTAAGGTTGCTTGGGCGGGGTTCGGCAGTAGAGGAAGTTCTCTCGGGCCGAGGTGGAATCGCTGGTGGGGAAGCTGTGGTTTCCTCGGTCGTGTGTGGGAAGTCGTCGTCTTGGCGGCACTCGCGACTAGGGATAGGCGTGCGGCTGATGGCTCTTATGCTGAGCGTCGCAGAAGCGATCCATAATGCGGAGCTCTGTCCCAGAATAGAATCACCACCATGGAGTAGCATGGAGAGCTCTCATAAAGCTCAGAATAAAAGCTGTAATGGATAAGGAGCCCCCTGACACGCGTGTCCCCAGCCGCCCATAAAAGGTGTTCTCCACTGTCCTACTCAGAGTAGGCCCAGAAGCGCACGTTACCTTTGAGGTTTTTAGATGCTCCTCTAAGCAGAAATCCGAAACAGTATAAGCAGGAACAGTGATACATTAATTTAGAGAGCCATTAGCAGCCACTCAGGAAAGAAAATGATGTGATACCTTATGCCATGGCGTAAAGTTCTCTTTTGACCAGCCTTTTTTTGACCTGGTGCCCTCAAGGTATGTTGGATTGCAATCCCCACTATCCCTAATATGTATAATAGGTGGGGATTTTGGGAGTTGTAGTCTAGAAACAAAAGTTTTCAGATGCTTGAAATAACTTTATTTTGCCCAATGTGTTTTGGGAAAAAACTTGCTTTCTTCAGGGGCTTCAATTAACATTGAACAAAATAAATAGCAGAGAAGTTGCTTTTGTGACATACCTCCTCTTTTTCTTTTGATTCTCTTGGGAGGTGTAGTCGAACAGGCTAGAGGGTGCAAGCTTGTAGAAGGCTAACATGTAAACTATTAATTGTTACATTTATTAAATAACAATTTAGCATTCAGAAAGAACATTTTGTTTAACCCACTGTGTTTAGGGGATTGAATGGAAAGGGCATGGGATTGATTTAAGGGCAGGTGGTTGGTTGTTTTTGATTTGCATAGTTGAACACATTTTTAAGAAGACTTAAGATATTAATTCTATGCATGTTTGAACAGAAAAAGAGTTTGGCAAATATATCCAAAAATGCATAGGAGTGTGCCCTTGTGGGGAGTGGGGCTTACATAGGACTGTGTTTCAAATCTCAAGAAAAGCAGCCATTCTTTACGTTTCACTCTACAACTTCTTTAAGGTAACTCTTTGGAGTTGATAGCTTTTTGTTGCTGAAGTGTATAATTTTCAAGGTAAGGCCAACAGCCTTGAAAAATCCATATGTCTTAAAAGGGCCATGTAAGAATGAAATAATTACAGTGCTTAAATACCTTTTTGTAACAATGTGGTCCATTCGTATTGTTTCCATATTCTGTTTATAATCTGATTTAGCCAGTAGAGCAAACAGTTCGTGTCCTACCAAGCAACACAGACTGCACCAGGCATATAAGCGACTCACCAGAGCTTGGTAAGCCTCCTGGTTTTGCTGTCACCCCGAGACTCCTAAAACAGCAGGATTCTTGTGCACTCTCTCCTCTGCCAAGGTATATGTTGGGTGTGTTACTTTTCAGGCCTAGTGAAGAAAACACAAACATAGATTGCCACCAGAGGTCACTATATTTTCATTTGACTGCTTGCATTTGTCCAAGGTAGAAAAAAGTCATTGATTCAAATTACACTTTTTTATTTTTAAAAGGGTCAGTAGCTGGGACTTTAACACAGGATTAAATTAATGCTTATGATGGAGCAGAACACATTATTGTTTCTTTAGAAATGCTAAATGTTGAGAATGTTTTGTTCCTTGTAATAATCAAGATTTTCAGATACACATCACAACATAAGCTTTAAAAGATGTGAGGGAAATAATATTTTATGTATATTCTACTACCTTTTATTTCTTAATGACATTGCTCAACATTGGCCTTAAATTGGTAACTGGTTTGTCTCTCCCCTCATTTCTGGAAAATATACTCCAATGGATTATTATATATTTAGGTACTCAGCATTGGTCTATGAAAAATACCATTCAATAAGGAAGCATTACACTTATTTGGAAGGGGAGACTAAAAAAAAGAACAGAAATTGCAACAGAAATGCAATAAGATTGTAAAAGGAACAGAAGAACAATATATTTAGTACCATCTGAAAGTCATTAGAAGTGTAACACTATGTGTCACAGAACTAATTCATTCTGTTTGCAGTGTTTTTTAAGAAGCTCTTAATGTGTTGTCTTTTTAAAATGAGCACTGTTAAATTCCAAATATATATACAAATCTTAAAATGTACCCTTCTGTAAAAGTGTAAATATTTAAGAAAAAATGTGATAACTTTTTTCTGAAATGCAGTACGGAAGTAAAAGCCCGAAGGATGATCCTCTTCCATAGGAATTGCTGGTGAGAGAGGAGGAGAGAGGCCTCCCTGTCGACTCTGTTGTTTCTAGTACAAGCTTGATCAAGCTCTGGCTTTCAAGGGTGTCGTCCAAGGCCAGCCCTTCCAGGGTGATGCAGTGGTTGGACTAGGACTGGAGAGATCCATCTTCAGATCTTAATTCAGCCATGAGGCTCACTGGTAACCTCAATTTCTGATTCAGCCTAACCTGAATCCAGTGGAGTGGGGCCGAACCATGTGTGCTTCTTGGAGAAAAAGCTGGGATAGAAGTGTAACCTCTTTGTGATAGCTCAAAGTGGAGTAAGGCCTTCTGTGCAGGGCAACAGTTATTGTATATTCCTGGTCCCTCCCTCATGGAAATTTTCTTCATGATGTCATCACCCTCCAGTGATTTTTGCAGCTTTTTATACAACAAGGAAAGTCTCTGAAAAGAGCTGTGTATGTTTTGCTATATTGCAGTGCCACATTATGATTGTTAATAAAACATAGGAAGGCAAAGAAATCAAACCCCTTGGTGAAATAAGTGTGAAAGGACACACCTTTCCGCCTGCAATGAAAATGGAAGAAGGCTTGGTAAAGCCACACGACACATGCTTCATGTGGACAAGCCACGTTGGGCAGTGGATGGCCTGTGTGTGAAACGGGATGCTCGGCTTGATAGACCTTTGGTTCGGTCCAGGCTGCTATAATGGAAGAAGGCAGGTCATGTAGAGCAGCTTTCACCAGGATGGTGCTGTCCAGGTGTCTTGATCCAAAACGTTTCTGTTTATTATCCATGCTGGTTGCAGCTGATGGGAAAATATTAAAAAGTATGTCAATTAAAATTAAGGACATTAGGATGGAAATGGTACCTGATGCCAGTAAAATTATTCTATATGGATAATAAATATTCTAATTTATCATGGGACTTTATCAATGGCTACAGAATCGGAATTCTAATATGGGCTGAAATACATAACATTTGTAGAGAGAAATAAGACTTTGTACACAGTATGTGTGAAGTCTTTGGAATAATTGTTTGGGATTGTGAAAATATTTAGAAATTTTGGATAATGGTTCATTTAAAGAGATTAGTAAGATAATGAACTTAAACTGAAACAGATCCAGAAATAGCATTACTGTTAATATTTTCTGAAAAGAAATGGAATATTAAAGAATAACAAATTTGGTAACAGCAGCAACACTGATGAACCCTCCAGGAACCCTCCATGAAAGAAATTAGGAGAGTAAGTACTCAGAGGAGGGCTTTCTCTGCAGTGGCACCCAGCCTATGGAATTCACTCCCCAAAGAGGTCCGCCTGGCACTGTCGTTACTGGTTTTTCGGCGCCAGGTAAAGACCTTTTT